AAACAATAAGCAAAATTACAGCATGATGTAAAAACACACCGCAACATTCCAACCAATTTTTTTGTTCTTGCCGAGATTGCCTTTTTGCATTAAAGTTAGAATAGGAGGCACACGAAAGTTTCAGGCAACATAACTGAAATAATTTTTCATCCATAGTTTATTTGTATCTCGCGAAGCGGATGATGTAGTAGTTTACAATATGTGTACGTACGTGCTTGTGTGTTTACTGCTCGAACAACACCAACAACGCAACCTAAAAATATTTACTTTTAAAAAGCGAAATAATGCAGTTACCGAAAAAATACAATATACCTGACTAAATAATATGTAAAAAAAAGCAATCGTTCTTTATGATATACATGCATACATATGTATGTATATTAGTAAAAGCATTTAGAATACAAACACTAAGGACGAAAATTTATTGTATGAAAAAATGCAAATTGTTGCCGACAAGTCCGGTCGGTCGGTCATCCCTTCTGGTTAATTCATATATTAGCTATAATATATATATTAGCTGGTTTTCATACTCCATCTAGCAGTGTACAAAGTGATGCATACAGAACCTGGTTAGTTTAATATTCATTGCCAATTCTCATTTATCTCGGTTGTTTTACTTATGTAGTCAGCATGGCGACTTCGATTGGCTGCTACCAAAAACGAAAGCATGGAAAAACTCATAAAGAAGCTCATTTTAAAAGTTTTTGTAGACTGTGTACTTTCGGAGAGAAGTTTGTGACTCTGGGAGAGTAATTTGAAACGCTTTACTGGTATTTTTCTATACTGAATGTTTTTCAATCAAATCTTTAAAAATGTGAAATATATTGATATCTTACAAACAACTACATAGGCATAAGCATTAGCGGGGAGCATCCCGTATTTTGCATTAAATTTGAAATGTTCCGCCGGGACAAGATTTTTCCCGAATTTTCGACAATTTCATTATTCATTTCAACCTGTAAACTTCTGCTCAACATGGTCATGATTTAACGCGGCTATCGTTATTAGGTCATTAGAAAGCATTACTGCATGCAATTCTGTAAGAGAAATATAGCTAAAATTACCGTTGATTTTTTAGAACGTTTTTTTTGTGGAGGGTGTTGCGAATTTTCTTACGTATAACAGCCCGTCTCCACAAGATAAAGTTTGTATCTTGTTACATATGTTAGAAGATAAATAGCCAATGGAGACCGCTCATTGCTCTTCAAGAGCAATATATGTATGTATATCAGAGCTTATATTTTGCCATCTATTGCCGGCAATTCGGTAGTTTGACAGCTACTTTTTCATTTGCATGAAAACTTCGTGGTGGCAAAATTATTGATATTTTAATATAAACGCAAAAATTTAGCTGTTTTTTTATTAAAATAATTATTATTATTTACTTGGATGTAAAATAGCCTCTTTTCTAAATTTTTTAAGCGATTAAATCCGGCAAAAATACGTTTTAGAAGCCATCTTACAAATGCTTATATCAAGCAACCAAAATGACAATTGGCCAGCAATAAATTTTATCCTGTGGAGACGGCGAGTAACGCATGCAAAAAACTGACTTTTTTACATGGAAGAAAATGCGCAACATCCTCCTGAATAAAAATTCTAAAAAATCAGTGGTAATTTTTAGCGACTTGAAACTTGCAACTTTTAATCAAAACCGCATACTCGAAATCTTACTAGGAAATCTAATTAAAAACGACATTTTGATGAAAATTGTTTTAAGTTTAATTAGATTTTGTGAACTTTGTGAACTTAGCTTAGATAGTTTTATTTATCTGGTATCTGACATAGATCGACCCATATTTCAAGTGAAAATAATTAATAATAAATAAAGATAAGTAGCCAACAGTATCATTTTGAATTTTGCTGCTATTATTTTGACCGCAACTGTAGCTCTTAGTTTGTTTTTATCGTTTTGTCAATTATAAGTCTACGTACATATGTACATATTTTTGTATGAATTAAATAGTGTTGCCATGAAATAAGTGAAATTTATCATAAGCTTATAAGTTATAACCAGGGAACGGATTTTATGGAAATTGCCTTTTTTTCTGCTAAAGAGATATAGTATATTCGATTAAGAATGTCCACGATTTAGCTTTCCCTGATTCCATATATACACATTTGATTTGCCTTTTTTAAGATATTTGCCTTTTTTTTGCCATTTTTAAGATATTTGCCTTGTTTTGCCTTTTCTACCTTTAAAAAAGTGATTATAGCATTTACATTTTTTTTTTTTTAAGATTAAAAAATATACACATTGCCCATGCGGCTTATAGAAGCGCAGAGACTTCTTGCCAAATTGGTGTTGGAAAAATTCAAAGCCGTTTTCTCAGCTAACGAAGGCTTGGAGACAATAAGGGGTGTTGATAGAATTATAAAGGGCGAGGAAAACGCCCTTATTCCTGATAATATGAAAGTTTTAAACGTTCCATATTTAAATTGGGCGCAACTTCCATCAAATCACGTCGAACGCACGTTTAGTACATTCAAGGCATTTCTTCGCGAGAATCGAATGAAAATGCTGCCAGAAAACTTCAAAATGCATCTTGTGGTTCAATGTTACTACAACTATACAGATTAAAGTTTTATGAGTTAGAAACCCGAAAGCATAAAATAGTCAAAGATTCAAAGTACAAATTTTTCATATAATGAAACTAGTTCATAGTTTTTCCCTTTTTACTTGTAATATAAATGTATTTTTTGATTGTTCTTCGTAGTTTCTGTCTTTTAGGTGCCTTATTTTGTTTTTTTTGCCTTTTCCTGCCTTTTTTGCTATTTTGTTTTGCCTTTTTTTTGCCTTTTTTGCAACACCTAGTTCCTTTTCCTGCCTTTTTCGCTATTTTATTTTACCTTTCCCAGCCTATTTCGTTATTTTATTCTGCCTTTTTTATAGGTTTTTAGGTCCTAAAAATCCGTTCCCTGGTTATAACTAATCTGAAAATTACTTCGTTGAAATCGATGACCTTTATTAATATATAGCTCGTAGTTGGGCTTTTAAAGCAAATCCTTTATTTTTCATTTGTCTCCTTAAATTTTTGTAAATCCCGTATTTTTGGGACAAATTATACGTTTGTCCAGTATCGCTGGAAAAAAATTTGGCAACACTAATAAGCATAGGAGAATATGTAAACTTAAAAATGTTTAAAGTTTTTTTTATTTCCCTGTAAAATTTCAAATGATTAACATAATTAAACTGACATTATGCTAAGTGGAATAAAAAAGCTGGCACTAGAAAATTGGATTTTTTTTTTATTTGTGGAACACTTGACGTCATTAAGTGCTTCAACCATGCACAAAGCCACAAAGGAGTCGGAAATTTGTAGAAAGGAGAGCCAGGATAATAATAATAATTATGCACATACCTGCATTACATTTGTGCCATATACATATACCTACACACACATACATACTTATGTATGGATGTACATACATGTGCACGCCAACAGGCAGCCAACCACTTTTCCATGCTGCTTAATTTATATTCCTTGTAGAGTTCATAAATGCCTTCTTAATTGCCCCAAATACATACTACATTCTTAAATAAATACGATGCTTATGCTATTGGCGATAAGAACACTACCACAAAGGGTTTGAGTGCGAAATTCGAAAGCCTTAATATAGGACATTCTCCACTGCGATAATTTCTCATTTTACTTTGCACGCAATTTATTATAACTTAAAGCTGCACTTCATGAAACTTCTTCACATAGTCCGATGGTATCGTTTCAATTAATTTTTCAGGGTTAATCTTAAATGAGAAAAGCGTTGGTCCAAAGGATAATCCTTTATTTCCGGCGTTGGTGAATGCATCGGGTGTTTTTGCTGCGAAATTTCCTGAAAAGTCGCTTTCGTCGCTGTTTCGTGAGCTAAAGCTAGAATAGAGTTCGAAAAAAGATTAAGCTGCCTTAATACTTTACTTAAGTAATTTCTGATCTTGAAAATTAAAATAACGAAATTCTGACAAAGTATTCATGTTCTGCCATTTCTTTCAAACGGTTTTTAGATAAATAAAACTGCTAAGCCATCACTAGCAAATTGGGCATCATAATTTTCTTGCATGTATGTATGTAATACTGCGCAGGAATGAACAACCCATTATAATTACTAAAAATTACTATGAATTCGTGTGTCCATTACATTTTTCCTTTTTACTAAATTGTATTTCATTTTCTCTATATTCTTCTCAGGCGTTATTGTTGCGCTTTTATTTCGCTTATTAAGACAGTTGAAGTGCTTTTCATTCCTCCGACAGCCAGCAGGCAGGCACACTGCATATATTTGACATACATAATTACATACTTTGGAGTAAGTAGTGTGTGTACGAAAAGACTAACACAGCGGACTCATATCGTCTTAGCAACAATGAGCTGGCATCTGTATAAATTAATTAATTTCTCTTCAACCAGTCCAGCATTTCATATATATACATATATATTTTTTAATACATCTACACTTTTTAAGTCTAGTATTATCATAATGCTAAAAGTGTTTTAACGTAAATTAAAAAAAAAAAAACATAAAGAGCTTAACTCCATAGATATTCCCATTTATTAACTATTTACAAGCATTTTTCTGCGTTGTCCAAAATATATCCAAGCATTTTCGGTTTCCTTTTAAGACTTCGATGGCGCTTAAAGCCAGTTCGCAATAAAATGGTTAAACAAATTCACAACTTTTTCCTTAACTTTTGGCATCCGAAATGGTTTCCGTACTTTGTTTGCGTAACTATTTGAATTCCACATTCAACACTCAATGGGCATTCTGCGGTTTCGCTACATAGGAGACCGAAAGTTTTTTTTTTTGCGAATTTCTTGGCAACACTTTCCGTATCTTGGCCAACATTTCGACTAAAATCTAAATTTATTGCCAATCGGTCTTCACACATAATCCGAAATTTCCGTTTAGATTAGTGAATGACCCAGATTGTGTTTAAGCCAAACAAGCAAAATGCAATTCAAAAGGCAACTTATGCACGTTTACTTTATTTTCTTCTCTCGCAGGCAACCGGCTTTGGCGGCCTACCTGATGTCACCGAGCACTCCAATGCGCACCGCACACTCTCACGCCAGAACTCAATTTCAAACAGTGATTCCGGTGGCGAAATTGCCAGCATTGAAAAGTCAAAAGTGAACTTTGGCGACGGCAGACCGCTACCAACCGCCCACCCTGCCAACATAAAGCGTAAATCGAAGGCAACCCACCAAGCAGCTAGTGACAGCTGTGCCAGGGTGCACCGCTTAAAACCGCGACGTGGCTCCTGCACCATATTCTTGACTCTCGTAGCCGCGCTTTGCCTGTTTACCATTGCCGCCATGCTCGCATACCAACACTTTGTGGCGCCAAGCCGCAATTCGCATGCTCAAAGACTGAAAATCGTACAACGGATACTGAAAGAAGTGCCGCTAGTGGATGGCCACAATAACTTTGCGTGGAATGTCCGGAAGTACGCGCACAACAGTCTGGAGTTGGTGCACATGAGACGCGATCCCAGTGCGGAGGCTCTATGGACCAGGCCGTCGTGGGCGCAAACAGACATTGAGCGGCTGAAGCAAGGACTAGTTGGCGTGCAAATGTGGTAGGTAATACAATACTGTTTGTTTGTTGTTTTTGGAATACTGGAAGTTTAAAATAGCAAGATGTCAGTGGCCACTTGGCTGATATTCGCATGCCTCTGGGGTGTTGTGTTGTCAGGTGTGTCAAATGCGGAAAGCTTAGAATGCAGAACATTCACAGCTGCGAATGACATCGTTACTATTTACATTCTTCACTCATAATACGCCGTCAGAGGCTGTGTTATAGAAAATAATCACACTGAAATAGGCACCATGCCAGTAATTTTCCAACGGCTGAGTTTGATGTAAAACGACATGTTTTTGACAGACATTAACAGTCGGGGTCCCTAAATTTAGGGAAAAGCAATGGGAAAAAGAAGTTGTGGCCTTTGAATTTTACTCAATCTTTGGTAATTTACATAACGCACAACCTCTTCGTAAAGAGGGATACCTCAAAAACCTGATGCGGAAATAGAACTGCTTGTGGAGAGCGGTAGTATCCATGAAGAAGAAAATATTTACATTAACATCCACGAATTGATTTATGCAAAAATTTCCACCTATTTTTCTTGTAGCAGTGCCGGTTTTGAAGAAGCTGTGCGATATGTACGCAATTGGAAATCAGAAAGCAATATTCCACCAAAAAAAAAAAAACAATATGTTGGACTCCTTCTTCGAAGGTTTTGAACTCCACCTGCTAACTTATCTTATGCTTGACTTGCTATTAACTTTCAAGGAATTCCTAGACGATTTTGTATCACTTTTCCTACATTTTTTATATGCACTTCATGCAAAGAGCTTTTTTGGCAACCCACCTTCTTTTTCTAGACCCAGAAACAGGTGCCTTATGTTTCTTCTTCCTTCTTCCCATGCCCTTATTTACAGGTCAGCGTATGTGCCTTGTGAGGCTTTGGGCCTAGACGCAGTCCAAGTGGCTATAGAACAAATAGATATTATACGGCGCTTAACAGACATGTTCACCGGGGATACGATATTAGTAAGCTCATCGAAAGATATTTTCACAGCACGACAGCACGGCCAGATGGCTTCACTAATCGGCATTAAAGGTGGCCACGCTATCGGCTCCTCATTGGCCGTTTTACGGTCATTCTATTCGGTGGGCGCTCGTTCGCTCAGCCTAACGCATAAATGTGACCTCTCATGGGCGGGCTCTAGTGCATCAGAATCGGAGAGCGGACTCTCTGCGTTTGGTAAGGCTGTTATTCGTGAAATGAACCGACTGGGAATGATGGTCGATTTGTCCCATAGCTCCGATGCCACAGCTCGCGACGTTCTACAAGTTACTCGGGCTCCAGTTATATTCTCTCATTCAGCCGCAAGACAACTTTGCAATTCCACACGCAATGTACCCGACGACATTCTTCGATTGGTAGCAGACAATGGCGGACTCATCATGGTTAGCTTCGATCCAGAAGATGTGGCTTGTGGTCAGCAGGCATATCTGGGTGATGTAGTTGAGCACATAAAACACATCAGAGCCATCGCTGGAGTGCAACATATCGGGCTGGGCGCTGGTTATGACGGCATTGAGGTGCCACCCGTCGGTCTTGAAGACGTTTCCAAATATCCAGATTTGCTGGCGACATTACTTCAAGATCACAACTGGAGTGAACAAGACATAGCAATGCTGGCCGGCAAAAACTTTCTACGCATCCTGGAGACCGTAGAAAATGTACGCGATTATTGGAAACGTGCCGACATTCAGCCACTCGAACAGACTGAACCACAACCGAAACCACAGTGCACATACATGTCGTCGTGACCACAGCTGCAGCCGATGCGCAGCAGTTATGCTGCCGCGCAAGAATTAGACCTGAGACAATGCAATAGCATGCTGCCAACATTGACTGACAACGGCAGCCTCAAATATTATATCTGCATGATTGCACTCTTGGGGTGGGTCGGAGCAAATAATCAAAGTATACGCACACTGATGGATGCAGTGAGCTTAAATGTAATAAAATTAGTGTTTTAGGCAATTCATTTCATTTAGATTATACTTCGCGTGTATGTATGTGTAAGTCTAATGAAATTTCTAGTTTTATTTGTTTAGGTTATTCATATGTAAATGTATGTATGTAATCTATAAAAACTTGCACATTCGCAATGTTTGACAACGTGACAAAGCACATACACTACATACATACATATGTATGTACATATGTATTTGATTTAAGCAAAAACTTTGTTGTGAAAATGAAGTCTGTTAAGAAACTGCTCAATAACTAAATACAACTTTACTTGTTTAAGCGAAAATATTAAAATACATATGTATGTATGTAAAACCACTTTATACATATATAAATTTAGAGATTGCGGAGTCAGCAAATTAAGTGGTGCACAAGCAAAAAATTATAACCATATCCGTTCAAATTATTTCAATAGAGCCTTGTTTCAGAACATTGGAGAGTGCACAAATACGTATACATACATACATACATACATACATACATACAAACACAAACATGTGTATCTATTAGTATGTATGCTATAATGTACCTTTGTAGGCAGACAAAAAATATACATATACATAGAATTATAGGCAATTTCAACCATAGATGCACACAAGCATTAAAATAAAAAAAAAAAAGTGTTTATAGTTAAATATATCGTTTTAATTATCTGTCTTAACAGATGTAAGATGAATGTGCCAACAAATATATAATACCCATACTATATACTATACATACAACTTATATACTATTCTTTTTAAGAACTCTTTTTTTAGTTAATGCTAAGTTTATCGTTAACAAGACAATCTTTACCACAATTAAAAACCTAAGTAGTTTGAAGATAAAAAACCTGCATTTGTTTGCATTTTTGCACATACCCAATCATATACACATCTTCACACACAATAGGCTGATTTCAAAAATATGAATATTGTCATACAAATTCTTAAAGGATGCGGATATGATTACTTTCAAATGAAACTTTCCTTTTCTATTTTTAAACTTATTTTCGGGTATATTCTGTAAATGCTGACTGAGCCGGCAACACTTCAATGTATGTAAGTGACTAAAGCTGTGTCGGAATTGCCTTAATTTTAGCGCCTAAATTGAAATTTCTACTGTTTTAAATTAGGCAAACTGGGCTAGTTCACTTTGATCGAATTTCAAGGGGTCAGAGATGCGTACTACCATACTGTAGGACCCAGGTTCGATCCACGGTCAAGGCAAAATCCCAAAATAGATTATTGATAAAGGTTTTTTCTTAACAGCTGTCGCCCTTCAGCAGGCAACGGCAAACATCCGAGTGTATTTCAGCCATGAAAAATAGATTCTCATAAATTCATTAAGTTGCCGTTTGGAGGCGCCGTAAAACTGTAGATCCCCCCATTTGTGTAACAATTTATTCAAAGTATATTTCAAACATCAAAACGGCCACACCACAAATTTAAGGAGAAGCTCGGCCAAACACTTAGCAAAACTGTAAGCGCCAAAACATTTATTACTCATATTACTTATTCTCAGAGACCGTACCGGTATTGAATTTTTAAATCAAAAGCAGACAATTTTAGTTATTTTTTTACTTTTATCATTTTGAGCAAATAATACCGATTAATTCTGCTTTCTATTTTTATAAGGCAAAAATAAAAGTTAAAATTTGCCTTTTATTTTTTTGACCAGAAAGTAATCGGTAATTGTTGCCTTTTATTTTAGAAGGTTTAAGTTTTTTGAATAGGGTTGCCACCTGCTGAAAAAATCGGAATTACATCGTTTGCGCAATTTTAAAACATGAGGTTGCCACCTGTTGAATTTTTTGTTTCGTGTAGAGCATCAGATTTGCACCGTTCTCTCAATTTTAAAATGAGGGTTCAAATGACAGGGATTGACCTACATACGTGCTATGTTTTTTTAAGGGTTGCCGCCTAATAAAAAATGCATTGTTTGAAATATAAATCGGTAAAATATCAGAATATGGGCATCAAGCGAAAGGATTTTGAGATTAAATTAATATGTTGGTGTCTTTAAACAGCTGCCTAAAACCAAATTTACCCAAAGCACGTCAACGAGGTGGCAACGCTATTCAAAAAAAAATAAACCTTCTTGCACATCTAGAAGCCTAGCCCATTCATTTGACACCTGATTTTTTTTTTTTTAATACAACAAGCGGTGTAGATTTTATAATTTTAAGAAATATGGCAACCCTTTTCAAAAAAGTCATACCCTGCTGTACATTTAGAGGCCAAGCCCATTAATTTGGTACCTCAGTTAGAAGTGGTCCAAGTGAACCCCCCGGGATCCACGGGAGACTCAACAGGGTCTACGTTGACGTTGGGAGGTCCACGAGTTGTAAGGTGCACGAGTTGGGAGGTCCACGAAAATGTATCTGGTTTCGATAGTAAAGAAACCAAATGGTTACTTGATAGCCTATTTATTTAACTTTAATTTTTTGGAGTGCTTTGACGCACTGGTGAACTAACCGTCACTTCGTGTCATCATACGTGGGGAAGCCTTAAAGGCCACCTGCACACTGAAAAGAAACACTGAGAAACACTGAGTGAGGCAATGCGGAAATTGCCGGCGGCTGATATTTAAGCACTTGTATCTTTTCATTGCTACAGCATAGTACGACACCATTACCTTTGTTGAAGAGATGCTAGAGAGAGAGAAAGAGTTCCCTGAGGGCGAATGCTGGTTTAGTTCCAGCACTGAGCCCGCACTCGTACATTGTCGAATCTTCACTGATGGCTCTAAAACTGACTCAAGGTCAGGATCTAGAGTATTTTTCGAAGTTAATGGGCATAAGCTTCACTTTTTCTTGGAGAATATGCTTCGGTCTTCCAGGATGAGGCATTTGCAATCCCCAAAGCCATAGTGGTTTACGTGTTTGCTTTACTGTAGGTGCCGGGAAAATCGGGACTGCCTGGAAATGAGACACCTGACCCTTTGGCCACGATTGGCTTAGACCAGGCATTCCTCGATCCGCAACCAGTTATAGCACTCCCCACTTCGACCATCGAAGCCACCATTAGAAACTGGGTGGATACTTCGCTCAGCAATGAGTGGGAGCCATCGAGTGGATGCAGGTGGTGGGCAAAACTCATGTTGCATTCAGTCTCAAAAGGTCTATCTAGTTTTTTTCTCTCACTGAGAAGACTGCTGGCTGGCCACTTCACATGGCACAAACACCTGACCGTGATAGGCGTATCCTGCTTTGAAGAGGATGAGATGGCGGAACACTTCTTGAGCTGCTTGGTTGCCTGTTTGGTTATCATCGATTTATCTAGATTCGGCCTTTGCTTTTTTGTCAGTTTCCGAATTTGAAGTTTGGCGTAAAAAGCTTTGCAGTTTTGTTGTTTCAAGTTTTGTCTTTTAAAAATGTGGGTGACGAATATTTTTCGAATCGTTTTAGGCAACAATTACCGATTGCTTTCTGCCTAAAAAAAATCGAACGCAAATTTTAACTTCTATTTTTGCCTTAAAAAATAACAAGCAAAATTTAACGGTAGATATTATTTGCTCAAAATGATAAAAGTCAGATTTTTAAAAGTCATAGAGGAATCAAAATCCACACACCCACACATACACATACACCCTTGCCCTTGAAAAAGCTATAGCATAATATTTTCGCTATGCCTTTTTGATGTCAAAATTTTTAAAATAACTTTAATTTTCAGTCTATGCTTATTCCATTGTACGAAAAATCTCAAGATTTGAAATGACACAAAAAAGCGCCGAAACACGTAAACTTAACTTTGTGTTCTGTTATCACTTCGTTGGAAAATATATTTTTTTGTGTATGTTACCGCATAACTTCTATAATTCCTTTTTAAAAGAAGGGTTGTACCCCAGAGGTGGTCCCATAGATATTTTAATTTTTATGAAAAAAAATCAAATTTTAACAAGGAAAAATAGCAGATTTTTTGCAAATTTTTTCATTTGTATTAAAACTTGTTCTTTAAAAAAATCATGCTCTAACGAAGAAAATCGATGAATAAATAAAAAAAAAGTTGTGAATGGTCAAATGATTTTTTTTTTTTTATGAAATATGAGCAGGGAATAATGTTGCTCATACGCCATGTTGTACATGGCCATACTCGTACGTAGATACTCGTACATGGCGCATGAGTAACATTTTCCATGTTAAAGTTAGATTTTTTCATTCATAATGCAAACTTAAAATAAAATGTCTTTGGAAAATAACCTGATCTAGAAAAAATGGTATTCTTTTGTGATTTTAGCGTTCCTACAATTCGTTATTATGCATCTTTTAATTTCATGTTACCGCAGTCCAATTAATATAGATTGAAAAGTTTAGCTTGCAGAAAACCTAAATGTTGCTAAGTCACTGCATTGCCGACACTTCCATCGCTTATGTTATCGTTTATATTATTTATGTTCGTACGAAAATTTCATATACTTATGTATGTACATATGTGCATAATAATTATTTCTGTATGACTTTTTAGTATACATATGCAAATGAAAATACATATTCACACGCATCCGTATCCATACATACATACATACATATGTACATATGAATTTGTATGTGTACACAAAATCTTGTTTATGACAATGTGATGATTTATTTCTTTCATGCACCGGCAATAAACACAGAAAACAAATAAGTCATATTTAACCATAAGATAATCTATTGGTGAATATATGTACACTTACATGTGTGTAGATATTATTGAGTTAAAATAAAATAGTACATACATATGTATATACTTATACGAATATTTAATTACACCGAGCAGGTTTTAAACACATACAAATGAGTGAAAATTAAATGACAGTATCGATAGTTAATCATAATTTAAGTGACGCACAACCGATTGTTCACACCCACACCCACACATACACATGCACACACACACTATAGGAATAATAAAATTGCAGTGAAGATTAAAAATTTAAACTGCGGAAAATACTTTTTATTTATTTAAATCCACATATACTTACAATGGTGGACGCAAATACATACATACACATGTACGTACATAGTTAAGCGCATACTTTATTTGTATGGGAAATCACATTCATTCAAACAAAAGTAACTACCGTGAAAAGTTTTTAATTGAAACAAAAAGCTCCCAGTGCAACCATTTGTCAACTCATTCTCTCACCATACGTACATACTACACACATATACACATACGCATTCGTATGATATAAAACTGCAATAAAATTAAAAAAAAAAAATATATATAAATATAAACACAAAAAACTGCTGGCTTTTCTTTTCATTCATCGAGAATTCACGTGTTGGTTTGATAAATTAGCGACACTAATTGACATTTCATGCGCAATGACGCGTAAGTATATACACACCTACATACATACACATGTGCATTTACATATATGCAGAATACACATTAATATAAATATTTTAAGTACGACTACGCCAGAGCATGCCAATTGCAAATAACCAGTGCAAGAGTAAATAAAGGTAATAAACATTATACATACATATGTTCATACATATATTGAATAAAAACTGCTCCAGAAAGATTTTTAGCTGGGAGAAATGTTCTATGTGGAACAGTTCAAAATAAGCAGCCATCGAGTTACATATGTATATAAATATGTTCGACAATTTTCTTATAAGGAAAAAAATGTACAACACCGCAAAAAAGTTTCAAAAATTAACCGTATTTTGTAGGTACTTGAAACTTCCGCTTTAACCTAAACATTTTTAAAAATTTCAGAATAGAATGCGTAAAATTTTGACAAAACTTTGTTGATTTTGAACCTACTTCAAAAAATATTTTTTTCTTTTTTTTTGTGCATATGTTAAAGCATTACTTTGGACCACCTGTATCGATTTCTATAATTCTTTCTATATATCCTAAGGATGTTCCCATAGTAATTTGGTTTAGATCCGATCATTGGATCATGAAGGAATTTACGGTATTGGAAGTTCGTAGTACACATTTATAACGAAACATCCGCGCCTACAGACAAAGGAGCACTTTTTTCAAAATTATGTAAATTTTATATTTTTATTACTATAAATACTCTTTGCTAGAGCACTACACATACGAATGTGTTTGTGAGCATATGCACATTAAGTAAAGTTTTTAACTCGCATCCTCATTCTTGAAGTTATAATGAGAGGAAATTGTTACTTGTTGGCTGTTAAGTGGCTCTTCTGACCGGAAGTACAATTAAAAACTTCACTTAACGGAATCATGTTCAAAAGATGAACTGTGTAAATAAGCAATAGCTAGCTATATTTATATGAACAATTTAATTAATTGATAAAAAAAAAATCATGTTAAATACATAGATATGTACATGCACTACATTTTAGAGGGCAGATTTCCATTGACCAAAAATGGAGAAATGATTAGCCTTTAATCGTTTGACACAATTTACTGCGGTTTCAGGGCAGATAAGCATTTCTATTATCGGTTTTTGACGCATGTATGTTTCTTCATTTTAAAACCAATTTAAAACTGATAATAATATGCTTTACTTTACTAGACACAATCATAAATTTTAATGCAATATTTAAATAAAAAGTGAGCTTTAAAGTTAACGGTCACTTCAGAAAACGGCCATAAATCTTAATATAAAGAGATGAGCGTTTATAGGCGTACGTTTTTGCTGGCCCTAAAATATTTTAAAAGAGATTTGGAAAAAAAAAGAATTCAACGATTTTTTTTTAACCAGTTTAACGTATACATACAATTAGTAGTTTGAAGTCTATTGTAACATATGTATGTAAATATACTAGAGCGGCCCCTATTTTTGAAAATCGGAAATTCGCGGATGCTACCTCCTGAAATGGTTACACTTATTGAAACTGTAATTCCCTCAAATTTTGGACTAATTAATCAAGTCGCTTTGCGTTTGAAATTGTTTCTTTTTTTACATATACGAGTAAGTAGAGAACCTCAAAAAACTAAAAAAAAAAAAAATGTTTGTATGGAAGCAAGGGCCACTCTAATGTTTATATGTACATACATATATGTATATGTACTTATGTAGACATAATTTCACATTATTTGGCTCATTATGCCGAAATCAGTTTGACGGTTTTGCTACCTCCCCTCCTTCTGGTTGCTGCGATGGCCTTCCATTATCAAAAATCTGCTATAATTGCGCCTAATCGCGCGTTAAAAATGCGAACTGCCAATGAATGGCTAGCGATTCAAATAGAAATGAATAAATTAAATATGTATGAAATTGTAAAGCAAAAGTTGAAATATGTATGTAGAGTGAAGAGGGAAGAAGTTAATGGAAGCTTCGGTTGATGA